AGGATGTAAGGAAATTACTTACGAGTATTGGATTTCATGTAGAAATTGGAGTTGCAGTATTCAATCTTTAATCGAACAGCTAGTCTGCAGATGCTCTTCAAATACATAAACTATGTTGCAAAAAGAATGGGAAAAAGCCTTTCTTTATGCCCACAGCTAATATAAAAAAGGTCAAGATCTGGTAGATGGTTGATTTATCTTTTCCTACTATCTACCTTAATACTAGTAATACCAAAACCTACAAGAACTTGGAGAGGAAGGATCATCTTTAGCAATTTATTTCAGAGCAGACAAGCCTGTCCTGCCACATACAGTCAAGATACAGCTGATGGTGTCACACTCTGGAAAAAAAAAATCAAGATAAGCTTTTGCATTCCACTGAAGGATTTCTCACACCACTATTTTTCAGAAACCTTCCAACTGAATATTCAGCTTTGGAATCTGTAATCAAAACTGCCTTTTGGCTAATAGTTTTTGCTACCTATTGTTTCAGTTGTTACAGTGAAGTTACAGACTTGCAAAGCTTACCAGTTTTACAGCATCTGAAAGCTGGTTTGACAATCACGTGTCATGTAAAAGGAAAGAATAAAGCAATTTTTGTTCCTGCTACTTAGTTTAAAACTGCTAATGGCTCCTGAAAGCTCCAATTTCTACTCTGGTGTGCATGCAGATATTAACCATGTCATAGCAAAGTTGAAAATGTATATATTTTTAAAATCTGCTCCTATTTTGAATATTGATTTATTTAGTAATTACCTTGCTTCTTTTCCAAGTCTGTTTCCCTAATTTCCAAATTATGTGGAAGTTCTTACTGCATGATTAGACCCAGGTCACTGTCCAAATAGCAGGTTATTGACAGAAGGGCACCAGGGGATTTGGGACAGCAGCCTTAGTTGTGCCTGGGTTAAGACAGACTGTGCCAGGACAGGGAGAACAGCTCAATCCACACTTGCAGCACATGTGCCCAGACAGGTGGGCAGCAGAGGCTGCAGCTCACAGGCACTGTACAATGCAGATTTGGCTGCAACTGCTGTGCCAGCCTCCATCAAACCCATGCTCCTGGAGCGCAACTTTAATTGAACTGCCCCTTTCCTTGGAGCTGCAGCATCAGGCTCCCTGTCACAGGCTGAGCAGGAACTGTGGCTGAATGGAAACCCACATGGCACCTTTCTTCCTTACAGAAAATCATAACTGATCGCAGCCTTCTACCTTTTATCATCTTACTGACACATCTTGTGTTACAACTGGATGTGCTGCCTTACCTGGAAAAAGGCAGCATGACAGCACTCCATGAGAGCATTCCAAATCCTAGGGCTTATCTGTGGGCCCCTTGCTCCACAGGTCGATCTTCTGGCACCTTCACAGAACAGCAACAATTTCAATGTTTTTGCCTTTGGGCATCTAACTTTTAGTACCCAGCCTCTGCAACAGATGCAACACCACCACCCCACCACCCAAGAAACCCACCACACTAGGCAGGGAGGCTGCTCAAGCAGACACAAAGAAACATTTTCCATCTGCAGCAGCCTAAGAGAATGAAACACAAGTATTTTTCCTGAACTCGAGAGCTTGTGGCTGTACTTTTCAATAAGGTTCATAAACACTTTACCTGCAGAAGAGGAGATATCCTCATTTTCTTTTAGCCAATTTTAAGTACATTTGCTCCAGGGAAGCTGGATCCCTTCTTTACCTCAGGGGACTAAAACTCAGATCTCTGTGCTTGAAGAAAGTACCTTAGGTTCCAGATAAACCACAAGCACACTGCTGCACTGTAACTGAACAAGGCCTCTGGGGGCACTTTTACTTCCTAAGAAAGAGATAGTGAGCATATTTTTCTGAACCCTTTTTCAGAACGCTGCTTGTTTGGTACTTGCCATGGCAAAGCTGCAGCTCAGCCTTCTATACTACTATTTTAAAATAAATTCTGAAATTATCTTGAAGGGTAACTCAGTTTGAGTTGCATACTGGGAAGCTACTTATTAAAGGAAGTACTCTCATTTCTTTCACTGATGCTTAGAACAGCTGTACAGTACAATGTACTCAATGTACACTTGAAACTGAAAATTATTAAGCACATTTAAAGGCAAACTTGAAATTACTACAAATCATTGTTGACATATGGTAGTATCCTCCCAAACCATCCAACCAACTACAACATACCTACTTAAGTAGGTATATTTACAACCCATAAGCTTGAAGTTGTTTCTGATCTGACATTATTTCAAACTGCAGCTAGTCAGGCAAAGAAGACCCTACATGCTCCTCTTGACTGAAGAGGAATAAACATGACAGATTTGCCCCTGCACAACTTTATTGATATGCAAAGAAAAGATGCACAGCAGTCTAAATGTATCCTTTAAGACAATGATTATCACTCTGACCCCTTTTTCTGATGAACACATGGCTAACATCATGCTGAGCAATACCTGTTACAGGTAAGTAAGTCACAGTAGCAGAGGAAAATATTGCTAATGAGAGAACCTAGCAAGTATTAAACATTTTCACAGAAGGAATAAAGTGACTATTCACAGTTCCTTTTTTCTTAGCTGTAAAAGAAAAAACGGACCTTTTTGGGTAAGATCTGATGCAAATTTTCCCCTTAAAAAGAAAAAGAGTTCAGAGTTGACACTATCACAAGAAAATTGACACTTCAAGGTTATGAACAAACTAAGTTTAATCTAAACCTAGTTTACAGTTGCATCAGATGAAGAACAGTTTCAGTCTTTCCAGTCAACAAATGCAGCAGAAGCTATGTCTGTGTCAGCAAGTAATTCAATATGATAGGAATGAAATCCACAGAATTGAACAGTTGATGAAACTTCTATACCTACAGTATTTACAGTCTAGAAATGTGAAGGCCCAGTTTTGTCTGAAGCTCCAGACACCCTCAACACATAGGTAGGTGGTTTCAAGCTGCCAGAAAGAAACCACTGGTATGGATTTGGGTCACCATTCAGAGCCGGAAGGCATCTGGTACACACTCAGAGCCCAGGTCCCAGTTCTGAGTTCTCCAAAAGGAAGTGAACTCAAGAGCACCAAAACAGCTTTGACAGCCAAACCAGTCTATGGGATGTGGGAATGAGAGGGATTTCCAAACTGCACAAACCACATTGCTGCCACAGATGCAGCTGAAGACATCCCCTAAAGAGAACATATCTCTTAGGATGTTCAGCCTCACAATGCTTTTAACCCTGGCTGAGTCACCATTTCCTAATGAACTGTGTTGCAGTGTTCCCAGTGGAACCAGATGGCAGAACTTTTATCAGCATATAGAGGGATAAGCAGCAGTAGCGATGTAATGAAAATTGCAATTATTTTAAAGTTCCATTTTACCCACAGTATGAATTTTAAGACAGACATATAAAAAGGGGCTGCTCAGGAGAACCTGAAAGCCAAACTGCCACTCCTGTTGCAGAGGTTCACAAAGAACAGCTGCTTACTTGCAGAATTTAAAAATTCCTTCATATAAAGGGGCACTAAGATACATAAGATGTAATACACTTCAAAAACACAAGCATTTTACAAGTCCATTTTACAAGCCATAATGTCTATTACATCAAGATTGAACAATACAAAGCTTGTTTTTATATTTAAAAATAGAATATAAACAAATAATAGTTCACATTAAGACAATTGCCACAGCAAAATTTCTGAGAAAGTGCTTTACCTACAGAAAATACCCGAAAGCCTACCAAGCAAGCTCTAAAATTTAGAAGTGGTAGGGATAAAAACAAAAAAAAAAGTGCAAGTGACGACCAAAACTTTGCTAGAAATCAAGAACTCCAAATGTGCCATGTACCTCAGCTGATAGTCAGCTCAGCTTCATTTGGGGAGTCATTACCGCTAAATATGATACAGCACACCATTTTGAAAAAGTAACAGAATAGCTGATTTACTTACAAATGGTTTTATTGAAGCTATAACTTAATAAATTTGATATTCAAGGTGTAAAGCTGTCTCACAGACTAAAAATTAACACAAGAAAAAACATAAGTAATACAGATCTACTTATGTTATCCAACTGGTAGAACTGAACTTGAAGGAAGCAATTCTTTCAAGATAAGCAATTAAAACTATCATAGGACTGAACAAACAGAGAGGGAAATACAGTAATAGAGTACTTCACAGTAAAATACCTCTTTATTAGGAATATATTTAAAACTAGCTCTTTATTTCAGGTAAGAAAAATAGCATTCTGACTTTTAGTCAGTGCTGATTCTGGTCATTTGTGACATTCTAAACAGCTAGAGAAGTTATTTGCACCACTGATGCCCATTAACAATTCCCCTGTCTATTCACTGCCTTTTTTTTACTTTGTTCTTAAATATGTTGGAAGAAATTCTTCAATAGGGTTTTTATTTAGATCTTAATTAATACTGACAGACCGACTTGACAGTGACTCAGCATTTGTTACTAGCTCACAAGCAGCTTTTATGAGCTAATTTGAAAAGAACGTGGTTCAGGAGCTGAACTACAAAGGCAATTGAGAGGGCAACTATCCAGGAAGACTGTGGTAGAACAAATCCCACTCTTCTACTATACAGTTTAGTACTGTAAAGTAGCAGCAGTTTCAAGAACTTCTATACCTCTGTATAAGAGAGCACTGAAGAACAGAATACTGGGGTATTGCTATTCAAATTCAAACAACAAACTACTTCATATGTACATTTTTATACTCAGTACAAGTCTAGACTCTCTTGCTATGCTGTAACTTGAAAGTTTCAGGTAATTAGATCATGCTGTAAACAAAGATATAAAACATTTGTGTAAGCTTTACTGGTTTAGGAGTGTACATAAACACCTGCCTTCTAAAAAATAAAACAGTTGTTTAATTTTCCATCATGAGCATATAAGTAGGTAGCATATTGTAAAACAAGTTTTTATCCAATTAAAAATGAAATCTATGCATTTCATGGAAGTGTTATACCACATTTGTAATGAAGTCTGTGTTTTTAGATACTTGACATCCATTTTCAAAATGAGATATAACAGGGAAAGAATTCTCCACACAAATGTATTAATTTCTGGTCTTGGAATTTTTTCTATCCTCTGTAGTCAATATGAAGCTAAAATACACCTGTTTTAAGCATACTTCCATATGCAGATGTTTTTTAAACGCAGATGAAAGCAATAACGATATTACAATCCCTAAGTACACAAGTTTGTGTCTGTTTTAAGCAGAATTTTAAAAAACATTTAGAAACACCAAAAATAGGGTATATCAGGAAGCAATCTGATACTCAAATAAATAGAAAATTTGCATTTTAATGTCACATTGAATTTTAGTACATTTCAATCAAAGAAAAAATAGACATAGTAATGAGTACAGGATTATATATATTACAATATGCCTTGTTATAATACAGTTATAGCTTTACGATTAAAAAAAACCTGGAGGGAAGATGGAGTTTCAGCTCATAATTGTCAGAACATAGCATTAAATGCATTTCTGGAGTAAGTACTTTTATTTCACTTCAAAATCTTAAAACAGCATTAGACTTTGTCCTTTTCTTTAAAAAAAATAATTAGCTACCATGGGGCTAGCAAGTATGTCTTCTAGGTTTCAATGATACAGAAAATGCTTTTCCCAATTTTACATACAATGAAAGGACAGATGATTTCAAAAACAGCACCTATGGCTAACTCCATGTTGACCTTGACCTAGAAATGCATGTTACTCATCTCCACAAGGAATCCAACAAATTTTGCAAGTTGTCCATTTCACATGAAAGCAAGAGGAAGGGTTATCATATGCAAAAATATTTTTTCCAACTGTTCTTAATGTGTAATTGAAAACTAAAGGCATGGTCTCTTCATTATAAAAAAATAAAGGTACAACAGAAACTCTAAAGGAAGATATTCAGCTATAGTGAAGTTGCAACCCTCTGAAAGGAAGGAAAAAGAAAAGAAGTCAATTAGCTAAGCTTTGTGCTCTAACCAAACTACTTACAGTGATTTTCAATGGCAAAAGCCCATGCTGACTGGGTGATTCGACAGTTCCAAATATTTTTTGTAATAATTTTTATTTGTATACAAGGACACTAAAATGATCCAGTCATGCAATGTTCACTTTAAGCATTCTGCATCTCTTTTCCAATCTTATAGCTAAGGATCTTGTTCCAGTCAATCTTGGTGCGGGTAACTGGCAACTGTCGACGTAAGGCCTTGAAAGTAGTGTCTGACATAGTCTGATAGTTCTCACTGATAGCAGTCTGTCAAACACAAAATCATACAAAACAAAGACATGTCAAGAACAGAACTAGGATGCCACAAAAACATTCAGTGACTCAGTGGCCTGCTACTTCCTAAACATAAAACCATGCTTAATTGAAATAATATTTAATGAAGGAAAGCTGCTAGATATAGATTGAGAATATGTGAGGAAAATTAATGAGACATGTAATAAACCTAGTCATAACCAAGGTTTTTCAGCAAACCACAGTGTGGTTAATCAGCAGCATGAATAAAATGCTGATCAGTTAGCTCATACATCACAAATTCCAGACAGAAAAGTCTTCCACTGTTTATCCTGTGGGGATCCTAAAGTGAGTCCACAACATCGTTTGAACTTGAACATAATGCATACTATAGATACTTGGCCTGAATGAACCTATGTCCACTTCTGCAGAATGCATCTAGAGCAGTTACACTTTTCTAACTTTGAAATGAAAGAAGTAATGCCTATTTGGTAGTCATTTTTAGCCAAGCTGTCTAACAGAGTAGCCTTTGAACAGAATCTGTACAAGAAATTTCACTTATGGAATGCATTAATGCTTTATGACATCAGAATTGCTGATCCTTAATCATGCAAGGAACTCTTCCACTCTCAGAAAATTATTTCTCTTGTAATGTTAGACAGGTGAGCACAATCACCAGGTATGAAAAGGCAAGACACAGTTAGCAGCATGCAATCTGTTCGTATGGAACTGCCTTATCTTGCTGGTTAAGCTTTGGTTAAGTATATGGTAATGCTAGAAATATGGGTGAGAATACAGTATTTCTTTCAACATACCTGATACTCATTTTCTGCAGCCTCTACAATTTTTATAAATTCCTTTGCTGTCTGGGCTTCATTCTAGAAAAAAACATTTGATTTAGGTCTCACATACAGTATAATTCTAGAACCAGTTGGATTATGTTTTTCCTATAGTTATAAGTGATGTCAGGTAGACTTGGTGAGAACATTTGACCATTCAGTGGCTAAACCGAAACCAAACATTCATCCAAAAGGCATATCCCATATGATGATGACAATGATGATAGAAAAATAAAATCAAACTTTAACAAGCAAAAGAATGCCATGAGGCATATTTTGATTAAAAATTCCATGGCATGATAAAAAGACATACAGAGCAGATCAACATTTGGAAAAATGAAAATGAAACAATGAAAAATGAAAAAAAGGAAAAATTAAAAATGTCCACCCAAGTCTCTGAAAACATACATTAAAGGTACAGATAACAACATTATCAATGCCACATTTCCAGTACAAATTCAAAAAAACTTCAAGAACATCACTTAACCCAGAAGCTATAGCAGACTGCAACCAAGAAACCAAAATCGATTTGTTTACCACTAAACATCCTGAATCTGGAGACTAAGCTGTGGAAAATATATATCTGGTATTCCAAAATCATCCCCAAATACATCTTGCAAAAATAAGGGTGCAAATTTCATCATGAGTGATAAGGATGTGGTCAGAAAAGAAACTGTTTAGAGATGCAAGTGCATGATTTTATTAAAAATAAAATGCCCCCTTATCAGTCAATCTGGAGGTATATTTGCTGAAGTGCTTAAAAGAAGTCTCCAGCAGGAAGCAAGCGTTCATGAATTTCCAAACTTCCAATTAACATTGGAGACATCCTTAAGAGTGCTTTTGCAAAAGCTGTTGAAATTTAGGAGTGTTCTTGTCCCATGTAATCCCTCATTCCTGCAAAGGAAAAGACTTGGAGAAAACTCTGACAGCTTCCATAACTGGTTTGAAGTTTCAGTAAAACTGCACCTAACAGCTGTGAAAGCACTCTTGGACACTGCAGGAGACCATGCTGGAGCAGGCAGAGAGCAAGCAGATGAACGAACGAACAAATTAAAAGGTTTTGACTTTTCAGTGAACTGAGGAAATGCTTTCAAGGGCTCTGCTAATGAAAGGAAAAATTCTGAGGTATGAAGTTTTATTTGTCTCAGAGGAAAACAAGGGATAAAATAATCTTCAGCAAAAGAATTCACAGGTCTAGCAACAAGAGAGTTCTTCATTTATTTCTGTTGTGCCTGTTAATGGTTTTAAAATGGATTCTCTGACAAACAACAAAAAAGAGCAATCATTGAGGCTCCTTTTAAGCTACCTACCATTTCTTCTGTGTGAAGTAAGAACTTCTTATTTAAGAAGTTCTAACCTCTTATACAAGAGGCCTTATAGATGCCTCTGCCCTCTATGAAGCTCACAGCCAATGTTAAAAATTGGTAACCAGCAGCATCCCTGCTTTTGTTTCAGATAAGTTATATAAAAGATGTTTTCCTACTTATCGGTCTGCTGCTGCTTTACTGAATTGCAAAACAGGATTAAGTCTCTTCCCAACATTAAGTGAAGAAAAACCTATTGACAGAAGAACTGCATCCACATAACCTTCCCTGAAGCAACTCTTATTTGAATGAAAGACTAAACAGATCCCTTTGCTCCCGGGAGTTAGAAGTAATTTTATATCTACAGCTCCAGAACTGTTATCAGTTGGCACCACATTCCTTCATTTTTTTATGGTGCTATTGCAACTGAAAAGCCAACAAGCCTTGCTTTATATTAACAAACAATGTTCTTTATTGATGAATTGAGCTATTGAGCCAAATTGGCCACTGCTAGTTGTTATCATTAAAATACTTCTACTGTTCACTTTTACGATTTCTCTTTGCCAGCTTAACCTCACTGTCTTAAATTTTATTAGAAAACACTGCAACAGAAAATCTTGTCACTTATAAATGCCATTACAGACATATTTCAGAAATAGTAGCTTTTCATGGTGGAACATTATCAATCCTTTAAAGATACAAGATTTGGTTCTATTTCCAAACAATTTTTATTTCTATTGTTTGCTCCTCCTTACTATAATAATCCATATGGCAAGAAGTTGGAAAAAATAATGCTTTAAATAAGAAGTGTGTTATGATTCTCAGGTTGAACCATCTCTGAAAGCGCTTTTTGTACAGAACAAGACTGACAGCACCAGTTACAGACAGAAAATGGAGAATACCCAACACTGCTTCTCAATTGGTACCGTTTGTTTACTGTTTTAGCATACTGGTCTTCTTCCAGTAAGGAAGGGAGACAATCTCCTAGAGACTGTTCTACTAAAGTCAGTTGTTTTAACTCAAACCTCCTTCATATTAAAAAAATAATTCTATAGGTCATTCTGCAGACCGACAACATAAGTCCACGAAGACTGACAACAAGCAAATTAAAGCTTTAAAAATCAAAGATAATGTAGCTTATATAAGCCACATGCAAGCATACATTAATTTTTATTTTTACTTTTTTTTTAAACAGTAGCTACATGTTAAGTAGAAGTAGTAAATATTAAACATAAAACATCTGTAAATTTGAACATTAATTCCCATACATTTAGAAGAACAAACTTCTGAGCTTTTTTAAAGCTTTCTTCTATTTTTAAATTAAAAAGTCACTTCAAGTCACTGAGGTCCTTAAAGGTCACTTACAGACACTGTTAGAGAATCCTGTATGTCTTTATGGCTCACCAGCTGAACATTACCATCTTCATAATAGTGAACCTACAGAAAATTAAACAAGAAAGTCATATTAAGTTTTAAAGACCAACAACATGCAGAAAAATCAAAGTGTTGTGTTATTTACCATGGTAAGAAATCTATACAAATCAGTCAAAACCACATACAGAATATTACAGAACAAAAGCAAATAGGAAAACTAAAATAATGTAGAATTTACTATTTCTGAGGGTGAATACTGAAAAAGCTAGTCTGGAAATATAATTTGTGTTGATGTTCTTTAAGTAGTATTTTAAGCAAAGAAGTTTAGGTTTTGGTTAATATCACGAAGATGACAACATCTTATTTATGTGACCTCACTAGAAACTGTTGAAATAAACAGACTAGACCATTTGAAATGGTGAAGATACATTTAAAATTAAAATAGTTGGGAAGCTTTCAGAGTAGTGTGAAGTTTTTCTGCTTCCCCAATATGTCCCAGCTTTCTAGGAACAGTGCAATGTTAAGATTCCCTTTCTAGCTCTGTATGGGCTTGGTATTTCCCATAACAAAAGCTGGTATTTCTCTAGACAAAGCAGTTCCCAAGGTTAGATAGCAAAGCAGAATGAAATTATTTATTCTTGAAATGCGGTATCTACAGAACAGCTTCCTTAATTATTTTGCAGGAGAACACTAAAACTCCACCCAAGCTAACTTTATTACTTTTAAATACAGTTGGGACAGATACGAAAACCTTCAGTTCCTAATAAAACTGCTGAAAAACTTAAAAATCGGGAAGCATATATAAAATTACATGAGAACATTACCAAGAATTGATGCGGGTCAGTGACATTTAAATAAGCATCTTTGAATATTTTTCACAAGTTTATCAAAGTCAAGATAGTCAACACAGCTGATGATATGAGAAAATTAAACATTTGTGTCTCACCCTATTAGACAACATAAAATAATTTTGAGATTCATTGCATATATGAGATATATGCAAAATAGCATAATTTCCTATGCATTATTATCATATGTGCAATAGACCCTCAACTTTATAAATAACAGACAAAACATGACACACAGTAGGACAGCTGTAATACCACAGAAAGGTTTTCTATATGAGTAAAACATTATTTCCTATGATTCATCTTAAATTATTATTTTGCTTCTTGTCAAATACTTGTTTTGGGATTCTTTTCCTAAAAGATGAGAAGTGCTTACTCAGTGCACAATTCTAAGAACTCCCAGTGAAGCAGCGGAACCCAAAGAAATGTAAGTACTCCCCCTTGTCCATCACGATTCACTGCAGAGAGCCCAAACCTCCCCTGTGCTCTGAGGCCAACACAGCACAAACATCTGTGTAACTGAGTCACATTCTTGGCAAACACTCAGACCTAAAAGCTTAACAGAGATAGTCAAATCTAATTCTGGGATGTGTTATATCTTGAACGAAATAGGAGTTCTATACTATACCTCACAGCTGGCATCCTTCTAGAATGGGTTCAGAAGACTACAAGAAGGAGGATGTTTATGAACAGAACCTCTTGGAAAGGTTAACTAAGGACGGATGAGAATATCAAATTATCTAAGAGATAAAATTAGTAATCAGTACACTTATCACTGTTTTCCATGCACAGTTGGAGCATGTTAAATGCCACAGGGACTTAGTTTTAGTAAAAGGCTCTGCTGTTGCTTTTCCTCTTACATAGAATTAAAGAAAACTATACAGAAGAGATTGTGACAGTTGAAAATCTCCAACATCAGAGTTAACAGAATTTAAGAAAAAAGGAAGAAACTGTGCAAACGATCTTAAAACTACTGGAGACATCTGAACATAGCAGGTGATGCTGCAGTTTCGCCCAACTTATTAATAAAAGGTCTTATCAGAAACAGAGCAATAGTGTATTGCTGTCAAAGATTTTGCAAATAACACTGAAATTTCAGTACTCTAAAATTATACTAATGCTCTAGAGACTTCATTTTCTAGAAAAATATTTTGCTCCTTAAAAAAAAATTAAAGCTCTTTTTTGTTTGTTTTGTGAGGTGAAGAGGGAGCACTCCCACACTGAAGAAATTGTACACAATTACTAAAAATTTAAAACTGATTTCAAAAGTCCTTGGTGAAATAAACAGCCTCTACGCAAGCCAAAAAGTAGAATTTTTCATCACTCTCCAGCACACACATTATAATGAACATAAATAATGACTTGATTAATTATGTGAAATAGTATTAAAAGACAAAATCATCTGGTGCCCAAATGGAAAAGCTGATTAGAACCTGAATGAATTCCTCGTTCAGACTATTTTTTTTTGGCTGCTGCCCTAACCTTTACAAGAATTAGGTGGACACCAGCTTCCTTGTTCTGGAAAACCTCTTAAGACATTTAATGAAAAGCGCATGCTGCGGAGAAAACACCTGCTTTGCTGTAAGTTGGATTTAAGTGACAAAGTCTTGAGAAGCTTTGAAGTTACTTAAGGTCCTGCTTACCATGACTGCTGTGATCTGACAACATAATAATGGCTGTTCACATTTTGACTACCTTTCCAAATGTTAGCACCAACATGGGAAAGCAGATTCAGGGTCCCGCTGCTTGGGTGAATCTGAGCACAGCTACCACGTCCTAAAATAACATCCTAGCCTCAGGCTAGAAAAACATTCCTTTGCATCTTCCTTCCGCAGTCATCACTGAGCAGAAACGTCAAGCAAAACTCATGGGTGCACAAAAACAGCAAGAAAAAGAAACCTGACTCTGCCTTGCAAAAAAAAAACAACAACAAAAAAGGCACACAGAAAGTCAGACTGCACTAAGTTTCTAGTTCCTGATCCCAGAATTGTTTCAATAAACTGCTGTAATGTATGTGTACATGTGTACATGGAACTGATCCAGGCAGTTGAGTCTTCCTGCCTGCCACATGACAGTCAGATTTCCTTTGGTCTCAAGACTTCTGCCTGCTTGGAATTCCTCCCTTCTGAATGCCCTAAAGCCAACAGGAAAGCCAAATTCTGAATGAAGAAGACACAGATTCAAAAATTTCTGATGGTGTAATGGGTGAAACCAAAGGTTTCCAACTTTCTGAACAGTATGATAACATTAAAAAAAATCCCATTATCAGTTAAAGTGAAAAAAAAGAAAACTTCTACTTCAGAACAGACCTATCCTCAGGAAAAGCTTCTCTCACTGTGAATTCGACAGGAAACCAAAGAGGTACATGCGTAGCTGAGGTGAATACACCTTCTCAAGTCCTCTGAATCACTACACGAAACACATATTTTATATTTTTAAGGATTAGACAAATATGCAAATTAGGTTACTAACACTTAAGTGAATGAGCATTGCTGCCTTGCTTATTGGGTGCCCATTTTCCCTTGACATATTTGATACACTGGCTTGAGTCTCCCTCAATAATGACTGGAGACTTTATGTCTCAGGACACAGTTTGAGAAAAGCATACCTGAATTTTCAAGATGCCAGCCACTTGAGTGGTTGAAGGGGTGATTGTAAACTTCCATTCTGACCTCCAACGGCCATTCCTTAAAAAAAACAGTAAAACAGAAACTGGATGTCACCCCACTGGTCATGAAAAGCATCCCAACATACAACTGATAGTAAAAGGAAACCAGAGAATGAAATTTGCAGTGTAAATACACATGCAGAAAATCTTCCCCTAAAGATTCAGCCTCATACTCAGTCAACAACAGAACAGTTTCCCAAAATATTTAACCTCAGTTTCCAATGTGGACCAAGGAGATTTGTTATTAAGGACCTTTTAACAGGACTTAACTTCTGAAAATACCTAAAGCCTCCAGTGTTCTTTCTCTCTTGTAGTATTAGTTAAACACACACAGTCCATATTTTGTTTCTAGGACCTGGATGACTTACTAGATCAGCTAAAGTCACACTTCACCTCAGACTATCAAAAACCTGAATGAAAAGAATAATAAAGTAGCAAAACTTTCTGCAGTGTTGAATTGTAACTAATCCTTTCAGCTCTTCTAGCATTTCCCTTCCAGGACAACTATCTCCTCCCAGTTTCCTTCTACAAATTCAGAATCCTTGCCAAAATGCCTAAAGGGGGTCTCAAACACCTGGAAAACAGTATGGTGAGAGCATGGTGTAGTTTCACCTGAATTCTTTCCTATAAACTAGACATTTTCTTATTTAGCTATCAGGTTAGTGGACTAGAAGGTTAGTATTATAGAGCTGAATTAAGAATGCACTGCAGCAGTCCATGATTTGTCTTTTGTTCACACTTCAAGAAGCAAAGTGTTCCAATCCTGTTAATGTGAGGTGTACATTCCAGTGTATTCAACAAAGGCTGAGAAAGATATAAAATATTAAGAGCTACTAATGAATCTGTATAATGACACATCTTAGATAGTAACAACAGTAACTCAACTCTAAAGCCATTGGTTATTATTTCAGACAATATCCAAATTATCACTGAAAATATAGACTAAGACAATTCAGAAGCTTGTTGGCATTGCTAAGAAAACTGAAAGGGTTGCCCAACTTAGCTACACAAATACTAGTAGCCTCACAGACTGACCCACTAATTATGAGAAAGCTTACGTGCTGGATTATACCTTAGCTACAATTCTAGTTTTTTAATGCCAAGGATTCAATGACTAGCTAACAGATTTGTTTGCTTCTCAGCCACTCTGTGGTCCCTTGATGTTAAGATCACTATAGTGCTTCCCCTCTAGGATATCCTTTTTATCTTAAGTTGCTATAACAAAAAAAAATAAAAAAAAAATTCAAGTTCTGAAGGACTTTTTATAGGAAATGCTCTAAGGTAAAAACAACACCATTTTTTTATTTAACTCAGCTGACTTAGAATGTTTTATAAGAGGCTAACTTTCCTCTTCTTTCTTTAAGAAGCCATCTATCCTTCTACATTGATAGTATTTCAAATAATCACAAAGTATTTTTCTTTGGTATATATTGGTTTTCCATCACCCAACAAACTTACTCTCATAGTAAGCCATCGGACTTCCAAATGCCTACAAAGCTGGAACACCTTGAGAATTAGTAGTGGCTATGGCTTGGGCTGAGTATTCAGACATACAGCTGGATAAGAGGAATCTGGTTAACTTGGAATCCATTCCTCCATCCCTAAATCTTCCAAACCAATATGCACTTATTACAACTTGCTAAGAACAAGAATTAGAGTCTAACTGCCCCTGAAAAACTCTTAAAAATATGGTCATATTTACCCATAGATGACCAACCACAACTTTAATGAAGAAAACTTTCAAGAAATGTTTTCTCCATCTATAAAAGGCTGTTGCATATCTATTCATCTTCTTTAAAGACTACAAAATTCATTGTTTGGAATATCAAAATTCATTCATTCTTCCAAACTAAAAAGAAAACCAGTATTAGTTCAATTTACTTCTAATATTGATGTAAAACATGCAGACTTAACTAGTCAAGTTTAAGTCAATCAGAAAAAATATTTATTAGCTATGCAAATTCAATAAAAATCAGTGTACTGGGAAAATAATTTAACTGATACATACACATGCTGAAATTACTGTGGATATGTAATAGCCACCTTCAAAACCAAAACCCAAAGATTTCTGAACTTCCATTCATTACTTGTGGGATTACTAATATAAATTGCAAGCAGATGCAAAACAGCAAACCAAATAATGAAATACCTTTCTTCTGACAACTGCATATACAAACTATCTCTAGGATATAACCTCTTGAACCCATTCCTGATACTGTGATATTTTATGTCAACTCTGGCCAGTTTCCTGTATGGAGCAATCCAAAGTTCACTCCAGACTGTGGAAAACATCCTTCAACCAAGTCCAGCAAGAAAAAAAAAAAGCTGCAGTTTGTAAGAGTTTATTTCATCCAAAACCACCTTTATCTGTCCAACCCCAAACTCAAGTCCCACCATACAGTGATTTTTGGTCACCTTCTTTCTCTGAGAAATTCAAACTAGAAGAAGCTGGTTTTATTCTGTCGGTCACAAAGGAATGAAAACAAGCCAAAGAAACTGTATTAAGTTTCTACAGCCATGAGTATTGGTGTCACTGTGATAAACAGAAAAATTAATCATGTATGTCCTGTGTGACATGGAGTTTTGTAAAGTTCTGCAAAAGAGATGCAGGTACACAGTTTGCCATTTTACTTATCACAAATAAAGAGATTTCTACAGTTTTGGCAGAAAAACTTGGGAGCGGGGTGGAGGGAGAGGAAGGATTCCATACAAGATACGCATCCACTCTCTCTGAACTAAGGATTATCAGTGTAATGGCACTTACTCAGTTTGCTGTATTTTACTGTCTGTGGATCCATATAGAAACTTACCAAAAATTTTTTGCTTGAAACTGATGGCTCTCTATGCATGCAATAATGGTTTGCTGTCCATCAATTGTTTTACCATACACCTTAATTAGAAAAAAAAAAAAAAGAAAAAAAAAAGAACAGAGTGAAAGTTTGAGTAGACCTTGCTCAAACTGCTTATACATCTGGTTCTACTATTGTTACATAAACTGTAAAATTTTATTTTATAACCATTATGGTTATACATAATATTCTGTATATGAAACAATAAAGTATTTATTACAATGCAGAGAAAATCTAAGAATAAAAAACCTGAAGGTCAGTCATCTTAACTAAATTTTATATATTGAAAACCCCTTTTTCTACCACTACAGGAATTCTAAGCCTTATAACAGTGACTACTGAGACAATATATACTTTACCAGCTGCGTTTCAAACACCAGTTATTCTACCAACTATATGACAATTGAAACACCTATAGAATAGCAAAAACGGTGGGTTTGGTCCTCTGTTCTGCTTTATCCTCCCAAATCAAATAGTACTAAAAATTATCTCAGCAAACATCCAATCTGGTTTCCTTTACAGGAACTGGAACTCATCTTACTGCTTGGGAATCCAATTCAACTTGTTAACTCAGCAGCTGATTTACTTTTTTCCCTCCTAGTCAATTTTTCTGTCACATCAATATAAAGCATGGAACAGACATCAATAGATCAGTTTGCTGAGATTTAAATAGTCATAGGCCTTGTAACAGTAAGCAAATGCTATTTTAATCCAGACTAAGAGGCTTTATTTTAAGAAGCTATCAGAACCATCAATTCTAGTGGTAAGAATGCAGCACTTGGATATATAGGAGATATTATAGAGCAACACCAGTTTGCTTTACTAAGACAGTTTTGTCAGTAAACCAAGCCAAGGCAGATGTTTTTATCTCATGGAATTTTTCTCCCCTTCTAAGCAACCAGTCTGATAGCCAGGATCAGCAGGATCAACCTGCAGTAGTCCATAAAATGCCAAAATGAATTAAGAAATTTAAATCAAAATGCTTAAATACAGAGGTAAATTTTCACTATGACCTGCAGTAACCACCCACTAATAACCCAATAGCGAAAACATTAAATTTCTGAAGCTTTCCTGCAGTTCTCATGAAGCCCCAAAAGTCAAAACTGCCTTTCTGGTTTACAAATAGCTCCCTTTTAAAATTTATATCTATGTATGTAGTACAGTGGTTATGTAATTTAGCACTTACTGTGCAGACACCATTTGGATAGTGTTCCTTCACATATGCTTTCATTGCTGTTTCAACTGAATTTCTCCAGGACTCTATGGCATTTTCAACTTCATGGGGTCTAGGATCAGTAGCCTCCTTTCTTAAGTGATCAAATTTAAAAGAAATCTTGTTCTTGGGATCCAGAAATTTTCCATTTCCCAAATCACCATGTTCTGTTATCAAAACCTGTATTATAAAATTTAAGTTAAAATTTATTTCATTTATATATATAATATATAATATATTAAATCATAAAATTAGTTAATAACATTTGCTATTCAGTAAAAAAAAAAAGCCATGTCAAATCTAAATATATCCTCCACTTAATGGGAGCTTAATCATACCCACAGACTTACATTTTAAACAAAACAGGCATACAGCAAGAGAGGAGAAGACAATTATGGTACACTGCCTCAGAAAAACAAATCTTTAATTTTACCCTCTTACTGCAACAAGCAGTGCAAGACAGAAATTCACGTCTTCTAGATGGCGCAAATTGTTTTTACAGCGACAAAACAATGAATTCAGCCACACTGCAAACTGAAATTTCAAGCTCTTTAGATACCCCTGAGTGATCAACTTATGGGACTGGTACTGGTACTATTGAAGGGGCACAATTTCTACATTTTGGTAGGGAAGATGAATTTCTTCCAATTTTCTTGCCAAGAACTGTTCCGATCCCAGAACATCTCTAACAGTTTAAGGAACATTGCAAGTATTTAATTTTATTCATACCTGTTCATCATAACCGTCAATTTTTACAGGAGTAAACTGGTCCAAGTTGTATTGTGCAAATGCACTACAAGAGAAAAAAACCAACAAAAGCTTGCGTCAAGCAGTTTTTTCCTTAGTAGCAGTTAAGGAATCTAAATAATAGCTAATTATCTGGGCAATGATGCATTAAAAAATTATATCAGTACTTTACCTAGCAGGCCAAAATTCTTGGAATCACTTTGGTTCAGCGTTTGTATTACAGATTCCAACCATTACACAAAAATTTATATTCAGAGTAACCTGATATAGACAAACATCTAAGCTTTACAGTAACCCATAGAAACTGGAGGAACAGATAAAATTTGAGTTTCACAGGGATCCAACTTACTAAGCAACATATCTCCACTCTCACAGATGAAACTAATTTTGTAATGGAAGTACAGTAGGATATTCTGATACAGGAGTAGGGTCTAAGGATGCAGTATCTTACAGATGTTCAAGTAACATCTTGCCATGAAACAGAAAATAAAGTTGCTCTAACCATTAGATACAATACAGATCTCTCCTCTGCCGAGAGTTTAATCTTGATCTAAGATGCCCAACACACACGATAGGGTTTTACTTGCCAAGCACACATCTTGAAACGAACTGCTTACTGATTATGCAAATCCGAATAAACATCTTACTTTTATGCAACTGAGTATGTGACATGTGGTACTTACTGGGCTGCTCCTTCCCTGAGAAGATTGTCATTATTAAGCAGCAACCGAACATCTGAAAGGAGGTATTTACAACATATAAGTACATGTAACTCAGAAACTTATTTCAGTCACATAACTAATGTCAACAGACTGTACAAAAGAAAAAAAACAAACTACTCCTTACCCACAGAGATTACTAGGCAGGAAATTTATTGCTTCATATTTTATAATTTTGACTGAATAAAATAAAAATAATAGTATAGAAAAGGATGTCTTCCAAGACAATCTGGCAAGTAGATATAAGCTGTATTCTACAGGGTCTAGGAATCTGTCAGTCTTTTGAGTTTTTAGAGAAGCTCTGAATGGGAACAGCACAGAATTCTACCAAGTTCCCGTTAAAATGTATATTACCAACTCTCTCACACTATATTATTGTTACTGTATTCTAATGACACTGATATGGTATGCATCGAACTTATTGGTTTTTAAGCCTTACCATTTTTAGTCTCATTCCTTAATGACACTTCCTAGGCAGAGGATTATACAGCACAATACCATTTTTTCTACCATGATTCAAGAAACATGAATATAGAATAAAGTCAACACTCTCCTCAAAATTTCTTAATGTTTATTTTGTAATAAATTTCTTATTTATGCACTTGACTTTACTAGGCACTGTTTTAATAACAATTTAATTCACTGCTCATTAATTAATCAATCATTAGTCTTGCCAGAACACATTAATCCTCTTCTAAGTATTTCCAAGATATCATTCAAGTGAAAAGAAAAAAAATATGGAATATTTTTAATATATTTTATGTTGTTAAAAAACAAACAAGCAAACCCTCCTGAAATAAACCAAATTTGCCCACCCAAACCAAAACACAAAATACCCCAAAGAAAAAAAACACCTCATGTACTCAAAAAACCCCACACAAAACCAACCAACCAAACCCACAATTTACAAAATTGGAATGAAAAGCTTTCTCTCTCTTTTTAAGATGGCAGCCTGAATCTCACTGAATACTGGTCAGGCATTTGTGATCATATGTTTGTTATGTGTGGTCAAACACATTGTACTCTAGTATTGAGCAGGTAGTCGCAACTATGACTTAGCTTAACAATAAAGTTTATAAGCAGTACTACTCTAAGAAATTGTAACAATCTTCGGAAAGCTGAGTTAGTAAGATATTCACTTCAAAAATGAAGTAGTAACTAACTTTAAATAATAATCAGCTGGCCACAGTTTAACAAAATACAAGGTACTTGTGAAAGTATTGCATTCTTTAATACACTTAAGCTCTCTCCAGTCTGACACTGACTACAGGTTTAGTATACCAAATTTACTTTTTTACTTAAATAGCTTCAGGAACATTTGTAACCCACAATTACAAAGCCTGCCTTTTTGTACTATATGTATGCCCAAATATCTTGATGGCAGACAAACAACATTTTTAAAAAAAATAACATCTTAGGTAAAGTTCAGACAACAATAATTGAAAGAAGCTTATTTTAAGTTTCCTTTCAGTTTACCAATACACTCAGTAAAATAGAGTGTGCCCAGAATTTAAAGGTTAGAAATGTTTGGAGAAGATTAATATTCTTTCCACAACTGGCATTAGGCAGTAGTCTTCTGTGTATCCAAGGTTAAGTATTTGTAATGATATTCCTTCTTTAAAAAAAGGACAATTTAAATGTCAGGTAGTTTAATTTTTGTTGAAAAATATTATTGTCTATCAAAGATAAAAAATAAGAGTATGTGTGTTCTAAACAGAAACCCTTTTAACTGTTAATTCATGACTCACTGGAAACAGAGACAAAGCTTGTTCTCACATCACAAAAAAAAGTAGTGCTTCCCCTGTTTTGCATTTAAACTTCAAGCTGTCTTGTGACTGCAAAGCTTATCATGCCCAGCTACAAAACCAGCCCTTACAGCGAGGGAGCTGCTACAATATGAGCCACATGAAATTCAGGAGAGTAATCAGCAATGCAATTTTGGATATAGATGCTTTAAATGAAAGGACAGAGTAGACAGATACTCACCATTGAACACCTCATTGAATTCTCCAGGAGGAGCATGAATTATGAATTTTGCTGCTATACGCACCTTAAATACAAAAACAATCATGTGGTTGTATATACTTACATTCATTCCTATTCAAAGCAGTTATGCATTATGTAGTTTTAACAGTCAGACATGAAATTGTACAACTCCCACATATTTGTTCCCATTATTTCATGTACTTGGTCTTTATTAAAAACACAGACTATAAAATTCCGTCTCTTCAAACAGATTAGAGATTATATGTGATGGAAGCAGATGGTGAAATTGAGTCATTCATGTTTTCTATTACAGGAAAACAGGAAAAGATGAATATAACATCAATAATATATTCACAATCTATGTCAACTTTTAGTCCATGGATGGCTGGGAATCAATATACAATCCAAGGGAGCCAAAAAGCATGATGAAGATGCATTTGATCTTCACAGCCTCTCCCAATTGTACTACGTATCATATGGTTCTATACTTTCCAGAAGGTCCACACTGACAGATTAAGCTTAAAAACACTGCATAGACACTAAAGCTTGTAATTTCACCTGCATCTACCTAAGACCTCTTAGTACCACAGTACCAGTAGATAAAGCTTAAAAAACCCTTGAGATCTGAATTAGTCATTAATGGCTTTCAGCCACAACTTCTTGCAGAGAAAACACAGCATAAGACAGTATTTCCACCAAAAGTATGCACACCTGCCCTGGCTTTCTCTCTTCTGCTTGCACAAGCCCTTATACAACAGCACAGAGCGCAAAATCAGAAAGTTATTGCTCTTGCTTTTTTCAGACCAGGTCCCCAAGCTGGTTAACTACACAGCTACAGACACATATGTTTGCAAAAACCCCACAAAAATACTTTCTAAATGTGAAACAACATTTAAACTTCTCAACTATTACCTTACTTGCAGAATGTCACTTAGCAGACATACTTTCAGTAATTCTTTTTCCCCCTTGCTAGAGGCACCCATGATAAAAACTAACTAAACATTGATTCCCTAACTTAACCTGGCAGAAGTTCCTATCCTTTGCAGTTATCCAAGTTCCCAGACGCTTAAAGCTCTCTTGCATCCTTGATATGGTGTTGCTATTCAAATACAGGATACTACCTGAACCAGAGTTTCCCTTTCCAACACCTTCTATCATGTATCCATGGAATGAAGAGCTGGAAGATTCAGTGTCTGGGAGCACTGTTTGAAATCAATGTGTTTGAGAAACACGCATTTCATTAACAAATATCTAAAAATAACCAAAGAATGAAGAACCACATTTACACATTTCTTTGGATTTGAAACTACAAAAGAACTGTGTGAGCATGCTAGAGCTCTTGAACTGACAAGAAAACTGCTTTTACAACTGAGGGTAGCAATACAACCAGTGTTTAGGCTTCTGTTTCTTGACAGGGCCCAAATTTCAGACAAGGCTCTCCAGGAGAGTTGGTTCAAGTTTAAGTCTTGGGAGAGCACTTAGCTGCCTCATTAGCAGTGTTCAACCCTGATGAGATCCTATGTGACCAGCCCAGGCAGCTTTCAGATCACTAAGATCACACCACCATTCAGAGCTTGATAAAGAAAATGGAAAAGTTGCCAGTTCCCAACTTTCTAACCTAAATGCTGCATTTTGGATTGCAGATAGCCTTGTCTACTACCTCAAATACCTACATCAGAACTGCTCTTTTCATGTAAACATGAATTTGCATTATACTGAGATAAATGCCACAGAGTTCACTCTTCTCAAAAGACACACAGAGAGGCCAGAGCACTTTCTTCTATGGCTGCTTAGGAACGTAACTTGGATTGTCTCCTTTGAATTAAAAGAATGTAAATTTACCTGTGTTACCAAAATTATCCAAATCACCAATCCGCACACTCGTCTACGTCTTGCTGAAGTCAAGGCACTGTACTCAGCTCAGTGCTCAAGCCAAAGTAATATAAAGAATGTGAAATAAAGCTAATCTATGGTATTATTAAAGTACTTATGAAGAAGACAGGCTCCAAGTTTCTATCACCAGCACATTTTAGCAAATGATCAATTGTGCTGGTTTTGGCTGGGGCAGAACTAATTTTCTTCATGGTGGCTAGTAGGAGACTGTGTTTTGGATTTGTGCTGAACACAGTGTTGATAATAGCTGTTTTTGTTGTTGCCGATCAGGGCTTTCACAGAGCCAAGGCCTTTTCTGCATTCATACTGACACACTGGCAGTGGAGCTGGGGGTGCATGGGAGGTTGGGAGGAGACACCGCCAGAACAGGTGACCCAAACTGACCAAGGGATATTCCACACCACATCAAATCATGCTCAATATATAAAGTGGGGGGGAAGAAGGGGGAGGGGGTGGAGATTTTTTTTTGACTTTCCAAGTCACCTTTACATGTGATGGGGCTCTGCTCTCTTGGAGATGGCTGAACAGCTGCCTGCCCCTGGGAAGCGGTGACTTAATTCCCTGTTCAGTTTTGCTTGCATGCACGCCTTTTGCTTTCCTTATTAAACTGTCTTTATCTCAGCCTGCAAGTTTTCCTGCTTTTACCCTTCTGATTCTCTTCCTGATCCTACTGGTGGGGCAGTGGCTGTGTGGGGCTTGGTGGCTGCCTGGGGTTAAACCATGACATCAATTAACAGGGTCAGGGATCAGCCCTGAAAAGCAAGATTTCAGCATGACTATCACCTGGCTGACTCCCAGCTCAAGATGAAGGTACAAAATTTCTTGATTCCTTGACTTCAGGTGAACAGGACTGCACATCCCTGCCAAGGCCAGGTTAGCTCTGGGCAAGCAAAGAAACAAGACTTAGAGACATTTGGAGTTGTGAAATAACAGTTTTGGGCAGGCAGCAGCTATAGAAGCAAAATTAAGCAAAACATGGGTGCCCAAACTGCACCCTGAATGACCACATGCTTTAAACTGGTAATATCTGTAAGGTGAGACATTAGGTCTATACTAAAACTGGACCACTACCACATTTTCATGTGTTTTGGTAATATAAATCTAGTTTTGCTTATGTTTTTCATTACCAGTAAAAACTATTCTTATCAGTCTTACCAATCAGATTAGCTATACTATAAATAACATTCATTCAAAAGCATTCAGTAGTAACAGATGTCCTCAGGACACGCCAACCTAGACATTACTTTTTACAAACATTTTACAGGTAAATTCCATTTCTCACTGATAGTTTTTTCAGTGTGAAAATTCATCATAGATGATACTTTTTGTAGAAAAGATAAACACAATCATGCAAATTTGCAATGAATACCTCATCAAGTATAAAGTATATTCACGTTTACAAAAGCAAAAAATCTAATGTGTTTTCAGAAGTTGAGAGTGTGTTGGCTAAGACACTCTCCATATTTTACTAATCTGCCTTTGTGAAGCCAATTTAAAAGTAATCCACTTTCCTTCAGCAGTTAAACTGAATTAACTTCTCTGTGATGAGTACCTGATAAAGTCATTATTTCCCCAATGCATATATACAGGAAGCCCATATAAAAGAATTAAATCCAGTAGTCTCACTTAACACATTAGAACTGAAAAGCACTTACAGATTTATTGCCACTGAATTTTTCCAGAAATAAATGCTGTAAAGGAGGCTTCTGTTTTTCAAACCCAGACTGATATTGAAGGATAAATGAATACACTTCCATGAGCCTCTATGAGATTAATATCTCCCCCTTTTGGCAGCAAAAAGCCTCTGGCTCAGCTGTCACTTGGGAAAGCACAATTAAAACAAAGGGATAGTCCCTATAAAATATGATGTTCATGGCAACTAAAAAAAGATAAATTAAAAATGCACACAACTTTTAATACAAAGTGACAGGCAAAAAGCTAAATTGCTCTTTAGTCAAACTGAGATAGGAAGTTTTATGTGCTGAAAACTGTTTTAAGAAAACAAATCAGATGCATTACAGTTGCAACTAATGCTGATTATTCAATGCATTGAGACTCCAAAAAATTGATTTGAGCAAGCCAAAACAGAAACAGCATAATATCTTAAGAATCCAATTGACAAAATCTTTTTCCTTTCAAAAGAACTGCACCCTTACACACAGTACAACAAACTTATACACATCAGCAAGTAACAAAGAATTGTTACAGCTGAGTCTTCCTTTAGAAAATTCAGACATAAAATACCAGAAGTTTCTCCACTTATTACTGTAGTTACTGCCAAAACACTACCTAAAGTTTAAGACAGTATCTTATTGATGTAGATTTGATTTACAGACAGTTACAGCTTCAAGTCTTCAGAGCAGCAAGAAACTTCAGACATCACTAATCCAGAAAATCTGATCACCAGTGGTTTATAAAAAAACAGCTTTTATCACAGACCTGTGTAAGGAATCACCTATTTTCTATATTAAATTTATTGAATGTAAAAACCCCTGATCTATACATGTTTTTATAAATCGTGTCTCTGCAGGTTTGAGCATTAATTTGGACAAATCATACAGAAGCTGAGAGCAGGTTTAAAAAACATGTATAAAAATGATTTCTAAAACACTGAGAAGGGATGCATTCCCCATTGCAGCCACTCTCTATCCAGTTTTCAGATTTACACCACTCCCAGTCTTGCTTAAATTGAAGTCTGCTCTCAGTAGGTAAGAGCTTGCAAGATTTACTTTCACAATTCAAGTGAAGCCAAATGCTACCCATCACATCAGTTAAAAGTATATCAAACCTACAAACTCATTGATTTTATAAAGCAAATTATTTCAATTAAGGTAAAAATTCATACAGAGAAGCCCAGCAAAAGAGAAAAGGACAGGATTGTTGTATATGATGAACATAATTTATTCTGCTAGAGAGTAAAACAGTTGGTCACTCAACAAATGCCTATACTCAGTTACAATACATGCAGTTTTCAGACTACACAAGCAAAGAGCAATGTAGTAATGTCCAGAATGGTGGCGGTTATGATAAATCTATCTTTTTTTCCCATACTTCGGCCTTTATTTCACAATTTAATTTTTCTCAATGCACGATACCCATCAAGTACACAGAGAAATCCTGCTTCTCTATCTTTTCCAGCCTACGACATTCTGAAGTTTACTTCATTTTGAA